GACATACTGATTTTATTTTTTCATCTAGTGACATTTAAGTTGCTCTACAGTTCGGCACTTTCACCAGATTTTTCTGCCAATTGGTTTTCGAGATATAGGAGGAAAACCAAAAAACCACGTGGCAGTGAAAATTCAAACCGCGACCGTGCGGCTGAATTTCAACACGCAGATCTGTTGGTTATTGTTTGAAAAGCCTCCTGGTACTTGTTTCACCAAGGCCGGATTTGTAGTTTAGAAGTTATTGCTGAAAGTGTCAATTTCTCTGACATCACTCATTTTCACCTGACTATTGCGAGTGATATTGAGCGACAACCTGCCTTTTTTATTTCGTAGCTTTATTGAAAAACTAATATAAAATCTAATTGCAGAATTTCGGATTTTTTGAATCAGCCGTTTCAGAGATATAACATTTTTTCTGAGAACACTCTTCCACGTGCTCTGTCTTCCAACCACCTATCGAAAATAGTTTGTTGGTAGAAACATAGTACGTTACATAAAGTTAAAAAATCCGTTTACAGAATTGCGATATCTTTTTTCGTTTAGGAGTTACGTAATTTTCAGTTATTTTTCAGGATTTTTCAGTTCAGCTAGACTTATCAGTGTGACACTGATTACTAATCGATAGAACGTAAAATTTCCATTTACTACAGTCCAAGCACGACTATCCTAGCTCTTTTTGTTGCGGAGATATTATAATTTTTAACTTTTCGACCATTTTGTCCGCCAAATTGGAAATTTTTAAAGTCTTATATCTCGGAAAGTATTCGTCACAGAAACGCGGGGTTTTCAGTATAGGTGCTAGAATTGACTTCAGCACACTTTGGAATAAGAAAATCCAATCGCCAATATCACCATAATCTGGCGATACCATTGTATAGCCTGCAAAGAGACGAGTCAAATGAGCCCAAACACGACTATTTCACTCAAACTGGGCTTAAAATAATCCGCTTTAAAGTTATCGACCGCCATATTGAGACGCCATCTTGAAATATTTCAAAGCTGCATAGCTTTGGAACCAAGGGTCCGATTTTGATGCGGTTTTCAACATACTTATAGGTTAAGCGATACCTATATCATTAAGTTAGATCCAGAAGTCTTTGATCATAAACTGAAGTGGCCACCTTCACCGCCATCTTGACTAGCGAAGAACACGCATAACTCTCGAACGAAACGTCCAAATTTGATGCGGTTTTCGGCATAGTTACGACCAAAGAGTAAACTACATACCTGCGATAGTATAAAAAAACTTCAGGGGAATATATAGATATATATTTAGTCCGCCATATTGAAAATTTTTAAAAGTCTGTTACTTCAAAACCGCTGAACCGATTGAAGTGGTGTTTGGGCTCAAACGCTTTGGAATTATACGGGGTATATAAATCTAGCAGTGCTGTACCAATAGGGCTGTTCAAAGGTGAGGAAAAAAAAATGTCCTGCAAATCTGGATCTTCAGGCTCTAGCTCAGCTAAGTCAAGTCTGTCGAAAGTTAAAAGAGGTGTAAGTCTAACCCCCAGTGTGGCGCTGCGTAAAAAAGTGTTAATCCAAAATGCAACCACGTCTGGGAGGACGGCGGAGGCGGAGCAGGATAACACCCCAACGGTTGGAGAATTAGCCTCTTGTTCTGCTGCTTCCAACTCCTCCAGTCATAGCACAGACATACGGGATGCTCTTGCGCCAGTAGAGTTCACACCACAAAATGCAGGTTTGGAGGACGGTAGTTCCATAACTCTGGACATTGATAAAGAACTTAACATCCTAGGTCTATGCAAACCAGTCAGGGAGACTGAAGATGAGTGGTCTGATGGTGACAGTATAACTAGTGGCAACAGCAGGAGGTCAAGTATACTGCCACCGTCACAAAAGCGCGCGGGCATCTCCATGGACTTAGCAACCCAGAGGGCTAATGAGTTCCTGCTTTCTGGAAAAGAAGCTTTGGAGAAAGCAGGAAATATGAAACGTGAATGTAAGAGCGAGGTCCACGATTGCTTGCAGGGCCTTTACGAAACAGTATTATCGTTATCGGACTCTCGCTCTCGGCATAGGTTGGCAGCGGAGCAGGAGAGATCCCGAGCAGCGAAAGAACTGGTACGTGTTGAGCGTGCACATAACAGACAGCTAGCCGAAATACAAACTTCCCATTATAAGAAGCTTGAAGAGACATACGAAGCAATTGTAGCCACAGGCAAAGTCGTAGAGGCTGTACGCTCATGGCTAAATTATGAGATGGACGAACCTATAAAAACAATAAATAATATCCAAATACAAATGCATGGATTAGCCACAAAAGTGCAACCGCAGTCCCTGAAAGAATTACCTTATGTCCATTCCGAGAAGTACGCTGAAAACTTTGCGACTTTGCTAGGCAAAATATCAGAATTAAACCAAAGTGTAACAAACCTCAGCTTGATGGTAGAAAAATCAATTAAAAGCAACATTGTCCCGGAGACTCAGAAAGTTGTCTCAGAACATTTCAACATACAACCGGATCCCCGAATCAATCAAATAATATCACAACTAGAGGACACAAAAGAAATGCTCCGATCATATCAATCGGCAAACCAACCTAGGGAATCAATCACAAAAGCTGATTTAGAAAACACTATAAAACCCATAACGCTTTTGCTTAGAACTGTACACAATGAAGTTAGTGATTTAAAACATTATAACACATCTCAAATGGCAGTTCAGGGAAATTCTGACCTTGGAACTGAACTAGCTATATCAGAGATCAGGGAAAAAATTGACGAACTCAAAAATATTGGCAATATAAATAGATTTACAGAAGATGAAAAAGACCACAAAATATACACTGAACCTTCCAAAAGACACACCACACCACTAAAAAATCTTACGCAGAAGTGACTCAAACACCCCGTTATGCAATGATCGTCGAATCTATAGACCCACGTTCTACGAGTGATGACATCTTAAAACAGGTTAAAACCGACATCGACCCAGTAGAACTGGGTATACGAGTCAATAAAATTACTAAACTGAAAAACCAAAGAGTTGTTATTAACTGTGACTCAAAGCAGGATAGGCAGACACTTAAAGCGGCCATTCGCGACACCTGCGACAGACTAACTGTATCTACACCAGTTATTAAAAAACCTCAGTTACGATTAGTGGGAATCACAAATGACTTGGATGATGCAAAATTAGTTAAAGCAATAACAAGTCAAAACAGCAACATTCTAACTGAATTAACGGAAAACGATAAAGCAATTAAAGTCCTTCGCAGAACCAGAGGAAGAATAAGAGAAGTAAGTAATATAATCCTCGAAGTCTCTCCTCAGATGTGGTCTAAATTGAAAGATCAGAAGCTGCGGATAGGTTACCAGGTCGTTCCTTGCGTAGACCAATCTCCAATTACTCAGTGCTTTAGGTGTCTTGGATTCAGTCACAAAGCAAGGGATTGCAACAATGAGCCTCGTTGTGGATACTGTGCTGAAGGGCATGATACGAGCGAGTGTACAAAGCGTAACGACGCTCCCAAGTGCTGTAACTGCCGCATTGCACGACGAGTAAATCTAATGCATCCTGCATACAGCCCAGAATGCCAAGAATGGCAAAAATGGGATAGGATCGCAAGATCCTCAGTATCATATTGTTAAGATACAGACAACGACAGGTCAAACCTAGCACAACAGAGTTCCTCCGACATAAAAAAACATATCAAAATTATACAGTATAACCTGGATCGTGGGCGGGCGGCAACACTCGAGTGTTTACGCACAGCCACGATGCAGGGATTCTCGATCATTCTAATGCAGGAACCTTACGTGGGTGCAAAAGCTCACCTATCTGTGGGATCCCAATATCGCGTCATTCAAAAAGTTACTCATGATACCTCTAAGCCAGTTAGATCGGCAATTGTCGTCACAGACCCTACATTACAATTTTCTGTAAACCCTAATTTTCTTAGTGAAGATATAGTAGGTGTTGAATTAAAGTTAGGATATATAAAAATAGGTATTATTAGCATGTACTTACATGAAAAAGGAAATCTGGACGAAAACCTGCAAATAATCAAGAAATACATATCAAGCATGAAGACGGAAGACATCATTATTGGAGGTGACGCCAATGCAAAGAGTATCTGGTGGGGCTGCAATGCAGAATAGAGGGAAAACTATAATGGAAGAACTAGCAGAACTAAACTTAGAAATCCTTAATGTAGGAACAAAACCCACCTTTTCTGCTCATAGAATGGGTTCATTATGTACAAGTATTATTGACATTACAGCCTGTATATCCTCGTTACTTCACAGAGTCAAAAACTGGAGAGTTGACGATACATTCTGCACAATATCAAATCATAAGTCAATCCTATTCAACCTAGAAATAGATAGTTATACCACTGAAATCAATCTAAATACCACAAGAAAATATAACACTAAAAAGGCTAATTGGGATAATCTAAAGAAAGATTTAAGTGATGATTTCAAAAAAAAAAACATAACAAAAGAAAAAATTGAAGAAATTGAAACAACCCGAGTGTTAGAAAACTTAATAAATGACTACACACAAAATATTTTAATAGCATGCGATAAAAATATACCATTAATAAACCAAAGGAGGAAATTGAAAACAGCCATATGGTGGAATAAAGAAATAGATGAAAAGAAAATAGAAATGATTAGACGAAGACGAAGAATAAAGAACGCACACCCCAAAAGAAGAAATTACGTAATAGAACAATACCTAGACGCGAGACAGGATTTTACTAGCGCAATCGAGAAAGCTACAATCAAAAGTTGGATAGATCTCTGTTCCAAGGAAGAAAAAGAATCCCTATGGCAAAGGACGTACCGAATTCTGAAAGTGTGTTCTAGAAAAGAGGAGGACAGGCTCCTCAGGAATTCCAACGGTGAAACTCTCTCGGAAGTAGAATCGGCAAACAAACTAGCTGACACATTTTTTCCTTGGGATAGCTCTGACACTGATACGGCAGATCAAGCCGAAATCAGGACTCGTAGAATAGCTAGCTAGCGCTAGAATTGACCAACAGATTAAAAAGCGAGCACATCACAACAATAAGGCAATTTACCAAACAGGAAATAGCACATATATTCAAAAATATGAGTCCCAAAAAAGCCCCTGGAGCGGACGGCCTAACGTCGGATATCTGTCAAGTCGCGTTCGAAACTAATCCGGAAGTCCTACAAGCACTGTATAACAAGTGCCTGATGCTTGGTTACTTCCCAAAAACATGGAAAAAGGCGACAATAAAAGTAATTCCTAAACCAAATAGGGAAGACTACTCCCAGCCAAAGTCTTACAGACCTATTGGTCTGTTGCCAGTGTTAGGCAAGATACTGGAAAAACTATTTGTCAACAGAGTCCAATGGCAGCTAGGAAAACAAGACAGGATGAGTCATAGGCAATACGGTTTCACTCCTCAAAGAAGCACAGAGGATGCCTTATACGACAGTATTACTATAATAAAGCAAGGCTTAAAGAAAAAAGCCTTAGTCGTAATAGTATCACTCGATATAGAGGGCGCATTTGACAATGCATGGTGGCCCGCCATAGTAAGTCAACTCAATTCTAAAAGAATTGATACATCCATGCTGAAAATAATAAGTAGCTATCTGTCTGAGAGGGAAATATGCCTTAAGTATGCTGGACACGCAATACAAAAACCCACTAATAAAGGGTGTATCCAGGGATCTACCTACGGCCCCATGCTTTGGAATGTCTTACTCGATCCACTACTGCAAAGTACAGAAAAACTTAACACCCACGTACAAGCTTTTGCCGACGACATCCTAATTGTCGCTACCAATCAAAATGGCCAAAAACTCGAAGAAGAAGTGAATGACACACTTAGAATTATAACTGAATGGGGCCAAAAATATAAATTAAGATTTGCCCCCCACAAGACCCAATCAGTAATAATCACCAAAAAACAAAAATTTCACCGACCTGTTTTAAAAATGGATGGAGTAGAACTTCAGTTTTCGGATCGAGTAAAAATTCTGGGTCTAACAATAGATAAAAACATTAACTTCAAGCCTCATCTGGATGATGTTTGCCGCAAGGCCATAAACATATATAAAATGGTCTCCAGAGCAGCAAGGGCTCATTGGGGGCTAAACTCGGAGATTATAAGGACAATTTATTTAGCCGTAGTCGAGCCGACTATACTCTACGCTGCCAGCTGTTGGGCCGATACAACGGAAAGAAAATATATTGAACGTATGCTTAACAGGATGACCCAAATTTTCGGCATAAGAATATGTAAAGGGCACAGAACTAATTCCTTAATCTCTAGCACATTACTTTCGCAAATAATACCGTTAGCATTAAGGGCTAAGGAGAATGCTAGAATCTACGAAATTAAGCGAGGCAAACCTATTGAACACCTGCCAGACAGGGAATTGGAAAAAAGAGTAAGTCCTTACAACCTTCCTCATCCATCTGAAAGAACAGAGCGACAATTCGAACTCATAAGTAACCAGAATGAAATTGAAGAAATCAAAAACAACTGGCCAAAAATATATACCGATGGCAGCAAGATTGAAAATAAAGTGGGTGCAGCTGTATCAGTCTGGCAAAACGGAGTTGAAACAAGAACAATATCATTTAGACTGGAAAACTACTGTAGTGTCTTTCAGGCGGAGATGATAGCAATTCTGAAAGCCGTTAAATATGTAGCTGACAAAAACTATCAAGGAGCCAACATACTTAGTGACTCAAGATCAGCAATAGTAACTATCTGTGATCCATCATCGCTGAATCCAATCGCTGCCGAAATTCCAGAAATAATAACATCCATGGAATATAATAAAACAAAAATAATGCTGTACTGGATAAAAGCACACTGTGGAATCCAAGGTAACGAGAGGGCGGATGAACTAGCCAAGCGAGCTGCTCTTAAAAACAAACAAAGACCAGCATATGACAGAGTCCCATTGTCTTATGCAAAGCGCCTCATCAGAGACTCCACTCTCCAAGTCTGGCAAAGAAGATATGAAGAATCTTCAACTAGTAACCTAACGAAGACCTTTTTTCCCAACATTGTAATAGCATACAAAATAATAAAAAATATAAAAATGACAAACTTAACTACCCATTTGTTCACCGGTCACGGTGGAAATAAAGCGTATTTATACAAGTATAAGCTATCGTCATCCCCAAGCTGCATTTGTGATGACAACTTAGAACAAACTGTAGAACATTTACTAATTGACTGCCCGCGCTTTAGCAAAACCAGATTCGAATCCGAATGCACCATGGGAGTGACAATCAATAAAGATAATTTAAATATGATAATGCAAGACAACAATTGCCGAACTATCTTCATGAAATTTGCACTTACAGTATTGAGAATTATAAGCAAGGAAAATGGTAGTAAACATATAGATTAAGTGTAAGAAAAAATGTATTGTATAATATAGATAGTAGTAAATAATTTATTTGTAAATAAATAAAGATAATTAATTTAAAAAAAATAAAGATATTATGTATGTGTTATAAGTGATAGGTAGATTCAAAAATTGTAAATTGTAAAAGTATAATTGTAGAAAAAAAAAGAAAAAAAAAAAGAAAAAAAAATTAAACACGCAAGGTGAGCAAGGCAAAAGAAAGAAATTGCTAGAAAAAAGTGGTAAAATTATTAAAAAAAAAAATTATAAACAAAAAAAAAAGAAAGAAAAACGAAAAAAAAATAAGAAAAGAATAGGGAACATTATATACATTTATTGAATAAAAACATCCCAGTCATTGTAAAGCTGTGTCCTATATTACGATTAAGTTTGCATGCATATGTATGTATATAAATAAGAAACAGTAAGTTAATGTCTTGTAGCTTTAGATTATTAGTAGTGAGTATAATTATAAGTATTAGTAATATGAGTAGTAGTATAAGTAATGTAGCCAAAGGCACTAGGTGCTAATAATGAGTAAACGGCACACAGAGCGGAATAATCCAAAAAAAAATTGTAAAGAGATTATTAATTTAAGCATAAGTAAGAAGGGTACTGCAGTAAAGTAGTAGTGTTAACAGTAATAATAATAAAAAAAAAACCTAACCTAACCTAACCTAACCTTTTTTTTTTTTTTTTACATGGGTAAATGCCTACGCATACCCGCCTCGCGGGGGCAAGGACGGGTTATGTCGGACTCGCACCGACTAAAACCCCATGGTGTTCCACCCTCGTCGCATATTGGCAGGGCCACGGGAACGCTTTCGCACACTTCCGCGGCCCCACCTGCGCTGGCCACTCCATGGCGGCCCCTCCTCGGGAGAGGACTACTCCTCCCCCATCTCCTTCTCAGGTAAGGCGCACCAGAACACATGGCGCGCCCTCCTCCTCGGCCTCCAATTTCACATGCGCAACGGACGCCCCCGTGTCCGATGCGCGAAGGCCATGGGGCCAGGAAAACTAGCACTCAGTAGCACCCAGCCTTCCTGACCCCAGCGGCGGATCTGGTCTATGGCTCCGCCGCCAACCAAGATTCGGCTGCGGAGGGTAGGGAGAGCGGCGCCTCGCAATACCGGCACTCCTCTCCCCCCGCAGCCCCACCACCACCGCATCAACTAACGGTGCGGCCCCGTCTGAGTCGCGGAGGATAGGGTGAGTGGCGCATCGCCATACCAACACTCCTCTTCCTCCGCGACTCCACCTCGGCTGCAGCGGTAGAGGGTGCGGACTCCCCTCTCACCGCAGCCCCCCGACACACATCCGAAGTGGGCTTACCAAGCCCACTCGGAGTGGCCACCTCGGGCCGGCCCTACACCACGGGCCAGCCAAGAGGTTCCTCTTTGTTCACCGTGGGTGACCAAGCCACGGCTACTAAGCCCCCCCGCCACGACAAGGCGGGAACCCGTTCGGGGGGGAACCTAACCTAACCTAACCTTTTTTTTTTTTTGCATGGGGAAATGCCTACGCATACCCGCCTCGCGGGGGCAAGGACGGGTTATGTCGGACTCGCACCGACTAAAACCCCATGGTGTTCCACCCTCGTCGCATATTGGCAGGGCCACGGGAACGCTTTCGCACACTTCCGCGACCTGCGCCGGCCACCCCATGGCGGCCCCTCCTCGGGAGAGGACCACTCCTCCCCCATCTCCTTCTCCGGTAAGGCGCACCAGAACACATGGCGCGCCCTCCTCCTCGGCCTCCAATTTCATATGCGCAACAGACGCCCCCGTGTCCGATGCGCGAAGGCCATGGGGCCAGGAAAAACTAGCACTAAGAAGCACCAGCCTTCCCGACCCCAGCGGCGGATCTGGTCTATGGCTCCGCCGCCAACCAAGATTCGGCTGCGGAGGGTAGGGAGAGCGGCGCCTCGCAATACCGACACTCCTCTCCCCCCGCAGCCCCACCACCACCGCATCATTCAACGGTGCGGCCCCGTCTGAGTCGCGGAGGATAGGGCGAGTGGCGCATCGCCATACCAACACTCCTCTTCCTCCGCGACTCCACCTCGGCTGCAGCGGTAGAGGGTTGCGGACTCCCCTTTCACCACAGCCCCCCGACACACATCCGAAGTGGGCTTCCCAAGCCCACTCGGAGTGGCCACCTCGGGCCGGCCCTACACCTCGGGCCAGCCAAGGGGTTCCTCTTCGTTCACCGTGGTTGACCAAGCCACGGCTACTAAGCCCCCCCGCCACGACAAGGCGGGAACCCGTTCGGGGGGGAACCTAACCTAACCTAACCTAACCTAGCCAATAACACCTTAAAAATAATAACAGAATGGGGACGCAAGCACAAACTGACATTTGCCCCTCATAAAACACAAACGACAATCATCACCAAAAAACTCAGATACCACTGCCCAAAGCTACTTATTGATGGAGTTGTCTTAACATACTCGGACCACCTAAAAATACTTGGACTCGTAATAGATAAAAATTTTAACTTCAAGCCGCATATAGACTACGTATGCTGCAAAGGCATCAATCTATACAAAATTGTATCTAGAGCTGCAAGAGCACAATGGGGGGCTTGAACTCGGACATCGTACGAACAATCTAACTAGCAGTAGTGGAACCCACCATCCTTTATGCAGCCAGTTGCTGGGCAGAGACTACAAATAAAAAGTATATAGAACGAATCCTCAACAGAATAACACGCATGTTCAGTATCCGTATATGTAAAGGACATAAAACCATCTCCCTCGTCTCAAGTGTACTTCTAGCTCAAATTATCCCATTAGCACTACGAGCTGAAGAAAATGCGGAGATATACGAAATCAAGAGAGGTAAACCTATAAAGTCACTCCCAGGAAGGTGCCTGGAGACGAGGATTAGTCCATATCATCTACCACACCCTGCTGACAGACGACAAAGATATTTTAAGTTAATAACAACACAAGAAGACATGGACAATATTAATAACAACTGGATGAATATTTATACAGATGGAAGCAAGATGAACAATAAGGTCGGAGCTGCAATTACGGTCTGGCAAAACGGTAAAGAAATCAAAAACATTACTTGTAGACTAGAGAGTTATTGCAGCGTCTACCAAGCGGAATTGATAGCCATCCTAAAAGCGATCAAATTCGTGATAGCTAAAAAAATTTCTCAAGCCAATATTCTAAGTGATTCCAGATCAGCAATAACAACCATCTGCAACCCATCAGCACTAAATCCCATCGCTGCAGAAATAAATTCAGAACTTAACATCCTAGAAAAAAGAAACGGGGTAATAAATTTTTACTGGATAAAGGCTCATTGTGGACTAACGGGAAACGAGAGAGCAGATGAGTTAGCTAAATATGCCGCTGCTCATAAAAAGCAGAGACCCGCATACGACTTGTTCCCATTGTCATACGCCAAGTATCTCACCAGAAGCCACACCTTGCTAAATTGGCAACACAAGTATGAAGAGGCATCCACCAGCGAAACTACAAGAACTTTCTTCCCGAGCATCACGATGGCATACAAAATACTTAGAAATATAAGCTTAACTAACATCATAACGCAATTACTAACCGGTCACGGTGGAAATAAAGCCTATCTTTATAGATTTAAGTTGGCACCGTCCCCACATTGCACATGTGATAATAGCTCATACCAAACACTTGAGCATATAATTTTAGATTGCCCACGTTTTGGCAAAAAAAGGTTCGAGTGCGAGTGCAGCATGGGAATGGACTTAAAATCTAAGAATCTAAGCTTAATCATGGCAGATGACTATTGCAGATCTTATTTTCTAGGCTTTGCTCTCTCTATATTAAAAGTCATAAATAAAGAGAACGGAAGTAAAGTGGTGGACTAGTTAATATACAATTTGATTATATTATGCGCAATAGTATAAGAATGTAGTTATAATATGTTTATGTATATGTATGGATGTGGTTATGTATAGGTATGTATGAATGTATATAAATGAAATGAATATGTATGTATATATGCGTATGTGTGCGTATGCATTTATATGCAATATTGTAATATCAAGGATTAGAATAGAATTGTATTGTGAATTAGTTTAAATAGAAAGTAACTAATAAACTAAAAATAACAGTAAAGCACAATGCTCCAGTAATACACGATGTAATCGCAAAAATGTAGGATAAGAATTAGCTCTCGTATTGTATATTATTCTGTATTTTTTTTTTATTTTACTTCATTTTGTATTGTCTATTATATTATAGTGTATTATTCTATTTAATAGCATATACAAATGTAAATGACAAACAGTGGAAAGTTTGAATGTTATATAGATATAAGATATATAGAAGTGTATAATGCATGATAGGTGTAAGATAATAAGGTCTATGCAATAACTACGAAAAAAAAAGAAAAAAAAAATTATAAGAACGACACGAACGGAAAGTGGGAAAAAAAGGAAATACATATATTATTAAAAAAAAAAAAAAAAAAAACAAAGCGGAAATATAAAAGGAAAAAGAATAACCTAAACAGAAAAAAGAGTACCGCAGAATAGTGGTAGTATAAAGAAAAAAAAAAAAAAAACCTAGCCAAGGTGACCTGGGGTCTCAATGGTGAGATTGTAAGGACAATATACGTTGCAGTCGTCGAACCTATAGTGATGTACGCTTCGAGCGCGTGGTCTTCAGCAACAGAACTACAGATGATTAAAGACCAACTTAACACGTTGCAAAGGGGCTTCGCGCAGAAGATCTGTAAAGCGTACCGCACGGTGTCGCTCACTTCCGCACTCGCCATCTCGGGTCTGCTTCCGCTAGACCTGAGAATACAAGAGGCGTCTAGCCTGTACAAGACCAAGAAACAAGGCTCACTAGACTACTTACCACCAGGAAGAGAGCTTGAAAACCGTGTAAATCACTTGGACCAACCTCATCCCTCTAAACTCATCAAATTGGATTATGAGCTACTGGAAACGGTAGAAAAAACAAATCTCCACCAACTAACCGGCCCTCACATATACACAGATGGAAGCAAGATAGAAGGGAGGGTCGGAGCAGCCTTAACATGTTGGGAAGATGGCAAGGAGACCAGTAGTTCCACCTTTAGACTGGACCCATCTTGCACAGTTTTCCAGTCCGAGCTCTACGACGTGCTCAGGGCAACCAAGCTAGCAGAATCAAGGACAGAACCCGTTATTAACATAATGAGCGACTCAAGATCTTCGCTCGATCTGCTAGCGAACCCTAAAGCAAGCCATCCCCTATCGAAAGCCATACAAGAAAGCATAGGGAAGATGAGAAAAGAGGGAAGAAAAATAAGACTATTCTGGTTGAGGGCCCATGTAGGCACGTCCGGAAATGAGAGAGCCGACGAGCTCGCCAAGACGGCGGCGCTCCGGGAAACAGCCACTCTAGACTATGACAAAATTCCCGTGTCCTATGTTAAAAAGAAAATCAGAGAGGAAACTGTTCGGATCTGGCAGGACAGATACGAGACCTCCACCACTGGGCATGTCACCAAAACATTCCTTCCGGATATAGCAAAAGCATACCGGAAAACCTCTTTGCGATGCAATATACTCGCCCAAGCCACGTGACCACAATCAGCCAAGAACTCCTGTGTACGCACCGGAATCCGATGGATGTGGCATATGCCCTGAGTGAAATTTACAATGGCATATATTCATCCAGATCTCAGGTGCATTCACTGGAAAGGAAAAGGTACACGGGAGTAGTCATTCCAGGTACCCTGCCAAATACTTTATATCTTGTATACACGCAAGCAGAAAAGGAGTCCCTTACAAGCCAGGGATATGGTTCGGGTCCCGGGTCGCGAATTTTAACCGTACATGAGGCCCAAGGCCTCACATACGGGACAGTGGTCATAATGAGGACAACAACAGAGAAGCACAAAATTTATGACAGCGTCCAACACGCAGTAGTGGCAGTGTCCAGGCACACAGTCTCCTGTGTATATTACACGGACGACTGTGACGATGCGACTGGAAGGCTGATTGAAAGCGCGATGGCTGCGACAACAAACAGAATTAAAGAATACAACCTAAAAATGGCACTAAGAAGCAGAGACGCAGCTGTCGTAGAGGCCCTGACAACGGCGAATTGATATGGCTAAAGACGGAGCGGTCTCCACGACGACCAAAAGAATGTATATATTATAAAGTTAGGAACTAGATTATAAGTTAAAAGAAACAAAATGACAAAAAAAAATAACCAACGTATTTGTAATATCACTTATATATAATTAAAATAAGGTATAATAAAAATTTGTATGGTAAGTTAATAAAGCATGTTAGGAATTAGAATTCAAAAAAAAAAAAAAAAAAAGTAAAAGGAAAAAGAAACAAGAAATAAGGAGAAAAAAAGGCATGATATATTAATAAAAAAAAAAGAAAAAAAGAAAAAAAAAAGAAAAAAATAATAATAATAATAATTAAAAAAAAAAAACGTGAACTCACTGCTAAGGCTTAAGTAAATTTACTATACTAGTAGTGTAAGGAGTACAATGTTAAATAAAAAAAAGTTAATAAAGAAATATATAGCGAAAAAAGGTACGGACCTCGAGTCTGTAGTGTAAACTTATTTATAATAAAAAAAAAAAAACCTAACCTAACCCAGTACGCACCGTAAAGTGTCACATTCAACATAAGCTCCACGAAAAAATTGCTTAAAAAATAGCAATTTTTGAGCTACGCGAGTGGAAGTGCTTTGAAAAAGTTTTTGAGTGTGCATTTCAATAGTGTAATTGGGGAGAAATCTGTACATCACCTGGCTTGGGAGCAGGAGCTTCTGAACTTTGGGGATAAATAGTGTCAACAGCAACAATGAAATCGCATAGGCAGTTTTATTGTTTGAAAGCCGCTATCAAGCTCAATTAAACGGCGTAAAAATCAAGAAAATCGGTCTACTGCTGCGGAAGTTATTGGCTTGTAAATATTAACAACTTAACCTCAAACCACGTGGTTGCAACGTGCTCTCAGACATCGAGGTTATAGCGTGCCAGTGAACACGAGGCGTCCGGCGACAGTGCAGACTTCAGTAGAGCCTTCGAAGACGGACCGAGGAATCCGCCGAGGATAAATTACCGCAGCTGGAGACACTATTGATGTCCATCAGGTAAGCCACGAGGGATCTCCTAGACCCCTTATTCCTGACCACCCGAGTTTGGGCTCTTTTGAGTCGGGATCTCAAGATCCCGCCACATACCACACATTCACCCCACTCATACCAAGTCCCCCCCCCCCATTGCCCATACTCGTACCTTCCCCCCCTTCCCTTCACACATTTCAGCTGAATAATATTATCCCGACCACTTACCCCACCCAAAAATTTTAGCCTCCTACCCCCCCCCCCTTTTTCTAAATACCATATATACGCTTCCCACGAAACTCCCCCCCCCCCCTCCCCTCCCCCTCGAGGTTTACCTCATCCCCGCGAGCTATAACTCAAACCGGAAGAGCTAGACACCCCGTGTGAGGGCTCATTTAAATCAGGAAAAGAAGCTCTAACTTTTGGCCCCTACAGATTTTCAAAATTGCCCCATAGTTCAATACCATCACGGACAAAAACACCTCAAGCATACTCTAGGACTCACAGTACACTACACCGGAGATCCTGCAACGGGCTCTTTCTTCGCGTCCAACGTACTCCACACTGCAGTTCAACAACCGAGGAACAGCAGTGAGTTCACAATAATAAAAAAAAAAAAACATTATAATATATCTAACTATATAAGGCAACCTTTATCTAGATATTAAGCACAAATTTGTATAACATACTTGTATATTGAAAATAGAATTAAAAAAAATGTCAGAAAACAAAGTTGTCTTGTCGGGTGTGGAGACCGTTGCCTCTAACAAGCCTTCTCAAAGCCACCCTGTTGCGCCGCCCAGAGCTCCACGATCGCTGCGGGAAAAAGTATTAACAAAAACAACTAACAGCGAAAAGTTGCCGCGGCCATCATCTCAGCCTGCAGCAGAAAAACGTACTGTGGACTCAGCCCCGACAGACACGCACACCACTAGAAAAAAGGCTTCTTCGCACACCGCCACCCTACGAACAAAAATTTCGCAAAATTCCGTAAAAAGTGACAGCTCGATCCGGTCCTCCATTTGTGACCCGGCGGAGGTGGCTTTTGAAAAAGTAGCTAACTGGAAGCAAGAAGAAATTCCCCCACTTCCAATCCTTTCGGACGAAGAATTCTCCATCACATCTGTGCCGGAATCACCATTATCGGAAGCACCGGAAAAAAGTAGACCCAGCCTGCTCATTAACTCCAACAGGCGACTGGGGGTGGAAATGGATATGGCGACAAAAGAAGCGAACGAAATGCTTCTGAGAGGGAAGGAGGCATTAGAAATGGCAGGGAATATGAAAAGGGAATGCAAACAAACAGCTTTAGAAAGTCTGCAGTCCCTCTACGAGATGGTCCTGGCATTGTCCGATTCGCGATCTAGACATAAGCACAATTTAGAAAAGGAGCGCTCACGCAACGCTCATGAGCTAATGCGAGTGGAGCGGGCACATAATAAGCTTATGACACAACCTAACCTAACCTAACCTTTTTTTTTTTTTTTACGGGGGGAAATCCTCATGGACTACCTCCGCCTGGGGAAAGGCGGAGGGGCGTGCCGGACTCTTACCGGCTAAAACCACCCCGGTGTCTCCTCACACGTGCGCGTGGGGCCGCGGGAATCCAAATTCTTCCGCAGCCCCACACTAGTGTTGGCCCGGTCTGTCCAGGCCTCGTCTCCTGCACGGGGTAGTGAGGTGTTCAATCAACTACCCCGTGAACCTAACCTAACCTAACCTAACCAGTCTGCTTCCGACCGCCGTAGCGACCGGCCGCAATTCGCATCGCGGGTGACTA